CCTTGTCTGCTCCACATGCATAAAATGGAAGCTACTATGTTACCTGGGATGATTGGTCTTTCTAAGGATAATTGATGCTGCTCTACACAATAAGACCAAGAAGGTATGTGGGGTAAAAGACAGTGAGCTGTTGGGGCCTTCCTGGCATTCCCATGTGTGTTAGGCAGGATAACAGCCCCACGAGCTCTACTTTCTAGAATCTATGACTATGGTAGATTGCACAGCAAAGGAGAACTAAGATTGCTAACCAGGTGGCCTTAAAGTAGAGAGATTATTCTGTTAGATCCAATTAGAATCATATTAGTAACTTTCCAATAATTTCATTTTTATTTCAAGTTCCTGTTTACATTGTGTACCAGTAAAACTTAATAGATATCAATACTTTGATGATGGCACTAATTTTTGAAATTCATCTAGAACATAGTATTGCTTTGTTTGACTGTTTTAGAAGTGAGTGATAGTTATGTGGTACTTTCCTCCCATAATATTCTTAACTTCATGGGTCAGAGAGACAACCTTGGGATTCTAGCAACTGCTGAATATAGACATTCCAAATTTACAATCACAAAAATGGAGAAATAACCTCAGGATGTGGCTTATTGTAAAGCAGACTTGGGCCAAAATCCAAAACCCTGACCTCCTTAAACTCCCACAGAACCCTGGACTACAATGGCATTCTGTTCCCACAGAAACTGGACTTATTTCAGAACTAGTTTTCAGAAATTCCCAAAAGGACTGAGTTTTCCCTGCTTCTTTTGGTAAACAGATACAGTCCCTTTGCAAAAGATTTGAAGGAGTCAGCATAGGTATATTTGACAATACTGCAGAATCCTTCCTCAAGGGAATTTCTCTTCTCTTGGATTCAAAGAACTCTGGGTTTGCAGCTGACTTAAGTTTACACATTAAAGAAGGATCATGAATTAATCACCATATTTGGGGGGATTTTTGCTTTGTTTGTTTACAATTCAAGTAGAATCTTAGTGGGCTATCTACCTGTTTGGATTCTAGGACTTAAAATTACCTCGTACCTATAATATGATTGTGTCGCTCAAAGACCCCTCTAATTACTGCTTTAGATATTCACTATCATGATTTGGTAACCATTTGGGGTCTTTTCACTGTGGCTCCCCATTCTCTGCCATTCCAGAATCCACTCACCCTGATTGAAATCAGGAAGCCCATTTCTACTATGATGACTCAACAAAGGAAGCTCAGGATGGTACTTCTGAAAAATGCTGGCTCTTCCTCCCACCAATGCATTTCTTAATAACCTAAATAAGAGTAATGTCTAAGCCTCTTGAGAAGCATATTCAGTATCACCCTTAGATCCAGCAAGGAATGGATGAGCATTTTCTTATAATGAGCATTCCAACCATCAAGCAGGCAGTGAGGAAAGTTTGGGGGATAGGAGAAACATTTGAGCCTAGTCAAATCCTACCAGAACCAAATCTTGCTGTTCAGATAAGCTCCTGGGGCTTTGGGGATAACAAGTTGACTGCTTGGGCCTGCAGAGGGGTGGGGGAGTGGAGCAGACCCAGGTCTCTGCCATCAGTGCTGCCCAGATGTGTCTCAGATTCCATTTAGCTTATAATAGCAGATATGAAAATTTCATCAGGTTTTCTGCTTTACTCTTGTGAAATATTAAACATTAATAAATTATTAAGTCTGATGTAAAATACTACAAATGTTCTTAGATTTCATCAAGTGATACTTGGGCAGCACATTTGTTACAGGGCTATTTTAGGTAAGACAAACATATTCCTGCAATGGGTGTCTTGTTTCTTCTCCCATTACTCACCATCCTCAGTAGGGAAATGTCACTTATGGGATTCGGGGGCTGCAGATAAGACATAGAGAAGCAGGGCACTGCTTTATGCACTCACGGCTGAATGTGGCAGGACCCAGAATCTGCACATGGGAGGAAGGGAACTGAGACATAGGGTAGGGTCCAAACTTTGGAAAAACTGAAACTGTCTTGAGTGTCCCTAAAATGACCTTTTCTCTTGATCTCGGGAGCTTAGGTCTGGACTATGGTGATGAAGTATCTGATGGCCTAGGACTGCATATTTGGGGAACTGAGAAGTTGCTGTATCTGGCCTGTTTCACTATGAAGCTGAGGAGATTCCTAAGAAACAATCAGGCTGTATGTGAACCCAGTTGTCTTAGTCACTTTCCTGTTGCTGGGGCAAAATACCTGACACCCACAATTAAAGGAAGAGAAGTTTATTTTGGCTCACAGTTTCAGTAGAGTAAGTCCATGGTATGCTGGTTCCAAGGCAGAAATGCACGGTAGAAATGCCTGGCAGAGAACAGAGGCCTATGTTTGGCAGGCAAAAACAGAGAAAGAAGGGAGTGAGGGAGAATCCTGCAACAAGAATACACTCTTCCAGGTCACACTGTTGGTGGCCTACCTCCTCCTAGCAGGCCCTGCCTCCGAACAGCACATTCAGGTACAAACTCATCAGTGCGAGTTTAGCATCCCTATGATCCAATCACCTCCAAAGACATGAGGCTTGGGGGAACAGTTTAGATCTAAACCATAACACCAGCTCATCCAGCAAGTAGACAGAGTGGTTCAGTGGAAGACCCATGTTTGCTGAAGATCTCCTTGGAAAAAGCACTCCCTAAGAAAGACATGCTAAGTCCTCACCTTCAGTTGGTAGAAGTTCTGAGCTCAGCACTACAGCAGCTTCACTGACCATCCCACACCCCAGCCTCCTGGTTATAGACCTGAGTTAGGAAAAGAGGGACAGATCCAAGAGAAATCATAACTAGAAGCCTGCACCAGACAGTACTGCGCTTTGGTGCAGAGCCACTCTGTTGAGGGTAGGAGCTTTTCACTGCAGAATATTCTGAAAAGACAAGTGGACATCCCCAGCATTTGTTGTAGGTTGCTACTCAGCTCAGCACTAGGGGATAGAAGAAGGGAATAGACACAGGACACTGTGGAATGATAGTAAGCCTGGGGCACAGCTGTTCCTAGACAGCAGCAGTAAGCAGGTGACACTGACAGGGCAGAGCAAGCTGTGGGGCAGAGCCAAATGTGTATTGCAGAGATCCTGGACAATGCTGCCTGCACTCTGCCCCCTCAGAGCCAGGGCTGCACCTGTCCTCCTGCCCCCTAGAAAAGGGTACCACCCCATTTGCCCCTTGCCCCTTCACTTTGCAGTACCCTTGCTCTCAGCCTCTGTTTCCCTGACTGTGTGTGTGTGTGTGTGTGTGTGTGTGTACCTGTTTATATAATTATTTACTAAATCAATTTAGCATCCCTCTCAACAAGAAAGAAAGGTGTAACCATTAGGAATGACTTTGCCTACAGACAGTAAAAACCTAAACATTTTTTTAACACAGGAGGACAGTCCTTATTCCCATCACACCAGCCCAGTGGCAGTGGATTCAAGGTCAGTCCTGGATCACCAAGAACCCAGATTCCTTTGATCTTCAGCACTTTCTATATTTCTTAGTGTGTTAGGTTTTTCCCTCATGTGGTCACTTCATGATCTTGCTCTAGGTATCATGGTCTCACACCATGTGATATGAAGTCTAGAAAAACGTAACTCTAGTTGCTTCCATGAGTTGGGCCCATTTTGCTCACCCAAGAGGTCCAGAGGTATGCAATTGCCAGCAATTGCCTGCATTGGTCTGGCTGCTCGGCAGTGCTGGCACCCTCTGTCATTCTCCTCTGCCATCCTCAGTGGGCTGGCTTCTGCATTGTTTAGCAGTTGATGGTAACAAGGTGGCTGTTGCAGGCCCATATATCACATCCGGATAGGACAGGGAAAAGGGAGCACAGCCAGCTGTTGCTGCATGTATCCCATTATATCAAAATAGCAAGAGATAGGATGCAGGGGTAGTAGCTCTGCCTATAGTCTCTACTACTAGGGAAGATAAAGCAAGAGAATCACTTGAGCCCAGGAGTTTGAGACCAGCCTGGCCAACATAACGATACTCTTCAAAAATAAAAATAAAAAGCAAAAGGTATATTTACTGATTATGTTCTTTGCTAATCCACTTTCTGTCACTGTGACAAAATACCTAAGATAATGAACTTATAAGGAGGAAGAGCTCATTTTGGCTCATGGTTTCAGGGATCAGTCCATGGTCACAAGCCCTATTGCTTTGGGCCTGTGGCAGCTGAGTACATCATGGCAGGCCCATGTGAGAGAGGATGTCAACTTACCTCAAGGGAGAGAGAGGAAGGGGCTGAGGTCACAGCAGCACTTTTGAGGTCATGCCCCCCATAACCTCACTTTCTCCCACTAGGCCCCACTTAAAGTTTCCACCACCTCCCAGTAATGCCAACTTGGGAAACAACCCTTCAACACCAGGCCTTTGGACACTCACCCAAACCACAATACCCCTGAACATTACTTGCCATCTAACTTATAAATAATGTTCTCTGAATACCCACACAGAGTTGCCATTAGGATCAAACTAGACATTACAAATAAAAGTGTGGAAAATTAGAAAGTATGGCATTATCATTTCCTCAATTGTATCCCAAAATGACAAACAACAATGTCTATTTGTGACTTGTCTTCTTACCCTCCTCCCTTTCCAAATTTGTCTTTGTCTCCTCAGCTCACTGGCCCTCACAGTTCTAGAGGCTAGACATCCAAAATCAAGACAGCCACCTTCTAACAGATGAATGGATACAGTGTGATATTTATAAACAGAGGAGTACTACTCTGCCATTAAGAAGGATAAACTTGAAACATTTGTAGGAAAATGGATGCACCTTGAGGTCATAATGTTAAGTGACATGAACTAGACACACAAGCTTAAATATCACATAGTTTCAATTATACAAGAAAACCCAAATATAAATAAAGAGTAAAATAAAAGATAGATAATAGGAAATATGTATATAGATCTTTTCCAAAAGGGAAAAGGACCAAGGGATGGATGGAGTGGGGAATGAGGGGAGAAGGAATTTTAAAAAGGATTGAGATGTGTTATGTGTGGTGTGCCAACTCCCCACAAGGAATGCAATCATTGTGTACTGCAAACATGTACTCATAAACAAAAATTGAAAAAAAGAGAGATAGCCACCTTCTCCTTGTGTCTTCACACGGTCACCTGTGTGAGTCTGGGTCTTAATCACCTCTTCCTAAAAGGACACAATCATATTATATTAGAGCCCTCACACATACACACCCAAAATATCTTCATTTTACCTTTACTACTCTTTAAATGTTTAAATCTCTGAAGATGGTCAGGACCTCAGGAGGAGGAACTGTGGGAAGAGGCAGGTGGGAAGTGGAAGGGGCTCTGGGGAAAGGGCCCCTGTTTTATGTTGAGGTTAAAACCAGCTGTCCCCTAATGGCCCATGTGTTGAAAGCTTGGTCCTCAGTCGTGGTCTTCATTTCCATCTCTCTTTGCTTCCTAGGTAGGCAGCTTCCCCTACACAGATACAAAGAAAATGGAGACATCTAACTTTGAATTGAAACCGTGAACCAAAATGAGTATGTCCTCCTTTTAAATGGTTTGCCTTGGGTATTTTGTCACAGTGAGGCACAGCTGGCTAGCACACATCCTCTCATATTCTGTGGTCACAAAAGGATACTTAACTGTCTCCCTTTTTCTGGTGGCTCATAGGTAGGAAAAGGCGGCAACAGAGGAGAGTTGTCATAATGAGGCTAGAACAGCATTCAAAACAGGGAGTTTCTGAAGGCTAGGCCCAACTCCTACCAAGCCTGGAGGGTAGAAGGCAGCTGACTGTCTGCTCCTCAAGGCAGGGCAGGACTTTTGGCACAGGGAGAAACCCTGGTCACCCTCATTCTGTACTCAGAGGACACCGGAAGACCAGCTTCTGGGGAAATTAATGTAAAGTCTTCAGACAACCTGTTTAAGAAACTCAGGCTGCAGTAAAGTGAAAGCAGTCTCAGTGGCTGGATCACCCCAAAACAGGCATGCACACAGAGTGTGGGGGCTTCACCTTGCCCACACCGGGAGTGTGTTCTGAAAGTTGGTTTGTTTGCTCAGTCAAATGTGTCTCAGGACTCATATTCCTCCAAAAATTATTTGGAAATTACAGCATCCCCATGCCACAAGATGGACCGACAGCATTCTCCCTTCAGCCCTAACTTTAAGACCTGCTGGGATCACCGTTGAACACCTCCCAAGGGGCCCCTGTGTCCCAGCACTCACGTCTCTGTCCAGGCACTGCTGGCCACACCATCACCCGCACATTGAGTTGCTGCCCTCCCCCTTGCCTGAGTCCCTAAAGGAAACCACCACCTTGTGCCCCAACTCTTCCATCCGACCCCTACCTCTCACCCTAACTATGTTCAGGACCTCTAACAGGTATTTTTATTACTGCCTCAGGTCTCCCCTCTTTTGTCCTGCCCCCTCCTGCCTCAGGGCCTCGGAGGAAGGTATGCCATGACTTGATTAAAAAAATGTGGGGGAGCTGGGGGTTTAGCTCAGTGGCACCACACCTGCCTCGAAAGCACAAGGTCCTAAGTTCGATCCTTGGTACCAAAAAAAAAAAAAAAAAATGTGGGAATGTCATTCCAAGGGAGAAGACAGGTTTGTGAGGGTGAGCATACCAGGGAGGAGCTCAGAGATCCCATGTGGACCCCAAGCTACCTTCTCGTGCCTGGCTACCAACGGTTGGTCCAGCCCACGTATCCAATATGAGGACACAGGGAACTTATGTGACACCTTTGCACAAATCCAAAAAGATTCCCCTCTTAAGATACTTCATTTCTATTAATTGGAAAACTGTGCATTTTCTGGTTTTTGTTATAGTGAGATGCTTTATTTCTATGCTCCAAAATCACCAAACTAGACATATAAATGTATGGCTTCTATGATCTGAATGGTCCTGTCTTAAAAGCAAAACACATGGGCAACACCCAGACTGCACAACAACAGAGACCCAGTTTTCTGCTAGGGTTGCATCCAGAAATCTGGTCCCTTCCCTCAATTTCTAGTCATTGACTGAGCCATCATACACACACACACACACACACAGAGTTTATGATTGGACAGCTGCCTAAGGGCCAAAGCTGCCTATCACTTGGAATGTCTTTCTTGTCAAGCCCAAGCCTCAGAGGCACTCTGGCCTGTAGGCCAACCTTCTAGTTTCATGATTATGCCAAGTCCTACAGTGCTGGCCTTGGTAGACAACCTGTCTGGCAAGGACATTGTTCGTCTCATTGCACACCTACTTACACTGCAGTGAGCCCAGCACAATGGAAGCAGAGTGCAAAGAACACACTTTATCTCTTCATATCCAAGGAGGGCACAGAAATAGTTTCCTTGAGATCACTTTAAATTCAGTGATGTTTATCGAGAAACAACTTTGCTTTTAATACAAAAGAACACTGTTTTGGGTCTCCTGTTGTCCTATTTCCCAGGAAACATGTCCTCAGGGGCTCACAGAACCCTCCTGACTGCTAGGCCTCCCTATGTCTCTGGCTTTCATGTTCCTCTTGGCTTCATTTCCACGAAGGACACAGGAAGGCATCCTTGCTTCCCCTGGGAGTATAAACTAATGGATGCTTAATTCAATAGCTCTCACGTTGTAAAGTGCTGGCTAATAAAAAGCATTTCGAGAAAATTCAGTGGAGAACTTTATGTCTGCACTCCCCCAATAAAAACTCAATTGGCTCCAAATGTTATACACTCATGTGAGTTGGAGTGACTGGCTGGGCTCTGTTCCAACCTCATACCCAGAGCATCCAACCACAGTCAGAAGCTGGTCGGTGCTCCAGCTTGGCTAATTCCTCCCTCGAAAGGCCCTCAGTTTTGAACTATGTGTGTACCCCGGGATGCCCTCAGTCCAGTCTCTGCTGAAAGCACTCTTGCTCCTCCAGGTCAGGGTGGGCCATGCTGCCTGTATGCTGGGCCAGCCCTGTGCTAAGTAGCCTATGTACCTTAGCTTGCTAACTGCTCAGTCTATGAGGTGACCCCCTTCACCCCATTTTCTAGAAGAGAAAGCTGAGACAAAGCTAAAGCAACTGCCTCAAGTCCCACAAAGTTTGCTTTGCAGTCCCTACCCTTAAACACTGTGAGTTTAGCCACTCTGGAAACTGGCTTAGCTTGGTCTAACACTTAGGTGATTTGCCCCAGCCCTGCCTCCTCCAATATGGTCCTCTCCCCATCCTCCTACATAGACAAGTGAGGATAGCAGAGATCAGAACCTAAAACTGAAACATCTCATCCTGGGACCAGCTTGACCCAGGGATGACCTTGGGCTGCATGCCCTTCAGAGAGCCTGGTAGCCTTCTGCCACTGCAGGAACCGTGGGGGAGGGTGTTACACTCCAGCATGTCAGACTGCATACCAGATGCACCCAGAGGCAGAGTGGGCCACTGTTCCACTCCCCCCACCCAAGTCTCTGTTCCTTCCCTCACCTTCATGGTGGAAGTCGGTCATCTAGCCCAGCTCCAAGGATGGGCCAGCACTGAAGGGACAGGAAGGGTGGTGGAAGGCTGAAAGAACAGAATAAGGAAACTGAGGTACAAAGGATTGTTTTGTATTTTCCTGAAGCCTCAAAATTACTCAGAAGGGCTGGGGATTTAGCTCAGTGGTTCCGCCACCTGCCTCACAAGCAGAAGGACCCGAGTTCAATCCCCGGTACCAAAAAAAACAAACAAACAAACTCTAACTATCATTTTGGGCCGGGGATTTAGCTCTGGGGTTCCGGTGCCTGCCTCACAGGCTCAAGGTCCAGAGTTTGATCCCCAGTACCAAAAAAAAAAAAAAATTACTCAGAAGCCCAGTTGGGACTGAAAGCCCTGTAGGCAGATTCCCAGCCAATCCATGAATTCTGTGTACCTTGCCAAAAAATACTGAGTGCTCCAAACCCTTCCACACCCAGCAGCTGAAGGTGAGGGGAGCTGTAAGGAGAAAAGTAATTAAGACAGTACCATTACAACAGAGGCCCTGAAGAAGGGGACCAAGAGATAGAAGGAGCAGGGAAGGATGGGAGGTATAGGGGATGAAAAAAGAATTAAGCTGTGCTGTGTACATGTAACAACTCCCCATGATAAATGTAATCATTATGTACTGCAAACATACTAATAACAAAAGAGACCCTGGAGAACTGCTTAGCCCCTTCTGCAGTGAGGACACTGCAAAAAGGCATGAACCATGAAGCAGAGGTCAGCTCTCACCAGACACCAAACCTGCCAGCATCTTGATCTTGAACTTTGCAACCTCCAGAAATATCTGTTGTTTACCAATTACCCAATCTAAAGTATTTCATTATTGCATCACCAACAGATGAAGACACTTATTTATTACATGACGGGCAAAACCAAGAGAAATATGCCGACAGCTAATCCCCCAGAGGCTCATCTGTTAGGGGCTTGGACCCCAACTTAGTGAAAACTTTAAGAGGCAGGGCCTAGTAGAAGTCCTTTGGTCAGAGAAGCCAAGTTCCTGGAAACTTTCACTTCCCTTCCATGAGGTAAGTTCTCACCATGACATGCTGCCTGGCCACAGCCCAAAAGCACCAGGACCAACCAATCGTGACTGAAACCTCTACACCTATGAGCCAAAATAACCTTTTCTCTTTGTTGCTTATGCGGGGTGGGGGGAGTATCCAATGCAACCCACAAAGAACACCAGGGAGCCTGTAGCTGCAAAGACAGACACTCCTGGAGCGCATGCTGGTGTCGCCATGTACTAGCTGTATAACCTTGGTCAAGTTACTTCCTTTTTTTCAAGTTCCTCATCTGTGGATGAGTATAATTCCTAAGTGCTTCATGAGGTGGAGGTGAGGATGTAGTATCCTTCCTAGAGTAGGGACTCAGTCAGTGGTGATTGTCATTTTCTGGATGAGATGCTGACCCTACATCAGACCCACTAAAGCAAAATCACAGGCCATCTGTCTTACTCACTTTTTCATTGCTAGAACTAAGTACCTGACATATATAACCTAAAGGAGGAGAGGTTTGTTTTGACTCACGATTTCAGAGGTTTCAGTCCATGGTCAGTGGCTTCAAGGCAGAAACATCATGGTGAAGGAGATTGACAGGGAAATGCTTCTCAACTCATGGCAGCCAGAAGCAAAGACCAAGTGCAGGAGCCAGAGCAAGAGATACATCCTCCACAGGCACACCCCTACTGACCTGCCACCTGCACCCAGGCTCCCCCTCCTAACAGTACATCCAGCTATGAACTCATCAATGAATGAATCCACTGATGAGTATAGTGCCCATGATCCTATCATCTTCCAAAAGCCCCACCTCTGAACATATGGGACTTTGAGGGGACGTTTTAGATCTAAACCATAACACTATCTCCTGTTGAAGTACAGGCCAGGGATCATCACTTTTCCTCAAGGGGTGATAACACCTCCGTTCCTACTCTCTCTCCTCTGCTTCTAGGAAACTAAGGAGGCATTCTGACCCTTGGGAATGGAGGCCTTGATGAGGCTTGATTTTTGATTAGGTAAACTCAATGTGGTGAAGAGAAATTCTAGCTCTTCTGACAGCCCCCTCAAAGGTGTTTGCTTCATTGGGTCAACCAAGATTAAGTCATTTGCTTTTTTTAATTCATGTTGGACAACCATTGTCTAAATCAGTGCCTTCTCTGATTAAAGACAACACTCCTTGGAAATGGCTTCCAGCAGGGGTCCTACAAGGCATACAGAACGGTGACTTGGGGTGAACACAGGTGATGGTGCTGACATTTCAATTAGCTTCCTTTTACCTAGGGAATGTATACCTTTCTCTGAAATAATTACATCGTGAGCTTGTCCTCAAGTATCTGGCCTTTGAAAGTAACTCTTCAATCTCAGCTCCTCCTCCAGGAAGCCTTGCCAGGCCCCCTTGCCCTGCAGCTCAGGAACCCTCTCTCTGTTGACTTCCTGGGACACTCCCTGTTAATGCCACTCTCTGGCCCCCTGATTACTGTTGTTCATATGACCTCCAGGACAACCCAGCTGTCATTCCATGCATTCATTCACACAGGGCCCTATATTGTAGGTAGCTGAAACTCCTATCTGCAGAATCTGCAGAGAAAAGTCCCAGTGGCAGCCAAAGCCTGAAAACTCTCAGTTCCTAAGGGACCTCTCCATGAGCAAACAGCAGAGGGAGACCTTCTCCCCCTGTCCCAGCTCCAAATGCTCAAAGGCAGGGAGGCCATGGCTGGAGAAGCAGGAGGAAGAAGATCAGGGAGTGGAGTATGACTTTGCCCCTGCCAGTTACGAAATGTGAGCAAAGGCCCTGGAGTCAGGTTGCCAGGGTTCAAATTCCATGCTCTTCTTGCTCTCTGTGAAGCCTGGGATCAGTAAATCCCTTCACCCCTCTTGGAACCAGAATAGCCTGATCCCTTCAGAGCCCCCTTTCTTAAGCCTGACTTCTAAGAATTCCGGGCCCTTTTGACAGTGCAAGTAGTTTGCTATATTTTCCCTTGAAATAAAAGGGAAGTGAATGACATTCACAGCAGCATTAATGCAACATTAAGTTAAAAAATAAATTATTCATAGCTGTGAAAATAATGTTAAGGTGCTTCTAGTGTTTTAATCACAGCCAGTAATGTTCCTTTTTGCAACAGTGGAAATTCTATGCAGGCATTTAAAATGCCATAAAACTCAGCAAGGAAACTTCTTTCCTTTAAAGTTACCAAGTTTCAGGGTAGAAAACTATGACAACAGGTCTGGGCTGGGACCTGAGAACTTGCATCTTTAACAAATTTCTGGATAATGATGCTGCTTCTCCATGGGCCCCACACTGCAAATGTCTGCCCTTCATTGATGCTGAATATTAAGAGCAAATGAGCAGCTTTCCAAAACTGCCAAAGCTGGTGTACTCCCAGGAATTCTGCCCTTGCTGGCCCAGCATGGTCATTGGAATGTTTCACAGCTTCCTGGTGATCCTAGCATTTAGGCAGGCTTTGGAGGTGGCCCTGGTTTTCTGTCTGGCCTCTGCTATGTCCACACAAGCCAGCCCCACACCCACCCACTGCTACAACCACACCAGTTTCTGCCCCATGTTCACTGCCTGAATGCTCTGTCCTGAGCTTCTCTTCTCCCTCAAGCATTTGTGCTTCTGAGACACTGCTCCAGCCCTTAACATCCACAGGCCAATTCCCACGGTTCAATGTTCACACTCTTCACACTTTTATTAGTGAGCACCACACAGATCACTCTGCCTGCTCCCCAAGCCTGTGGTCAGGGGCTATTTCTCATATCTGTTTCTGTGCTCCTGGCACATGGAGCAGTGCTCAGTTACAGCAGGTACTGGCTGCTGTTTGAATGACTCCTGAACTAGTAATCTTTCTGGTGTAGTTTAGATCTAAAGTGGCCCCAAGCCCCCATGTGTATGGAAGATGATTGGATTATGGGGGCTTCTAGCTGACTCACTGTAAGGAGATGGGGTCTGGTCAGAAGAAGTCAGTCACTGTGGGTGCAACCCAGAAGGGTGTATCTCCCTTCCCAGCTCCTCCCTTGAACTCTCTGCTTCCTGGCTGTCTTGACATGAACAACTTTTTCTCCCCATTCCCCTCTGCCTTGGATCCAGCAAGACTATGTACTAAACCATGAAGCAAAATACACCTCTCCTCCTTTAAGTTGTGAGTGTTGGGTATTGTGTTTCAGCAACAAAAAAAATGTGACTAATACTCCTTCCAAGTAATCACACCTGGAGAGCCATGCTCAGTTTCAGCACCACATTGTCAGAGTGAAAGACAGCTCCATGGTCATCAGAAGGAGCCTCAGTGGAAGAAAGAAGAGTTGGCCTCAGGCTGGGGATTTAGCTCAGTGGTTTCACTGCCTGCTGCACAAGCACAAGGACCCGAGTTCTATCCCCGGTACCAAAAGAAAAAAAGAGTTGGCTTCAAATACCTGAAGGACTGTTATGGTTTAGATTTGGTTCATTTTGTTGGAGGCTTCATTGACGATAGGCTTTGAGAAACTGATTGACCATGAGAGCTCTAACTTCATCAGTGAATTAGTTCATTGATGAGATCATAATCTGATGGCATTACTGGGAGATAATGGAAACAGGAGATGGGACCCAGTTGAAGGGAGTGGATCAGGGGGACAAACTGTGGGGATATATTGGTCCCTGGCCCTTCCTCCCTCTCCCTCTCCCTCTCCCTCTCCCTCTGCTTGTCTCTATCCCCACCACCACTACCACCGAATGTTGGCTGTCATGAGGTATCCACCTTTTCTCTGCCATGATGCTCCTGCCTCACCATGGATTTAAAACCAATGAAGCCAGGTGACTATGGATTGTAACTTCTGAAGCTGTGAGTTAAAATAAATCTCTTTCTTAAAATTGATTTCTGTCAGGCATTTTGTCACAGTGACAAAAAGGGGGAAAAAAGAACATTCTTGGCATTGTTCCAAGGTCCCATCAGGTGGAAGGTCTAGGTGGAGGTCATGAGCAGGTAGAGTCTAGGTCAAGTCAGGAGCATATTATTCCCAAAGTCCTTAGAGCTTCTAGAAGAGGGCCC